GAAACTCAGAAAATACCGTATCCGTAACGGAAATAACGATATTTCGTTATATGTGATATCTTTAACAATAAGTTAGATAGTAAAAGCGATAAAAGTGATAAAACGCAATGTATTTATTAACTTTTTCTAGAGCTCTTTCAGACGAGACACTTTTGGCCGGCTACTATTGCTATGAATACACTCGTACACACGAGACACAGACACGGAGTGTGTGTCGCGCCACAAAAGTTGCGTGTCCCATCACCTCTAGCCGCCGGACACTGTGTTTGTCCTAATGCGAACTGCGAAGAGCATGCGAGTCCTAATTATGCAGATAAAATAATTAAACAAAGAGCTCGCACTATGAATAGGCGTCTGGAAAACATTTTTATACAATTTTAAAATCCTAACCCTGGTCATATGTGGCATATATACCGGTATGAAAATTGGCAACAGCGCTTAAAATTTCGTACGCAATCGTTTAGTTAAAAATCAGGTAAAATCGTACGCAATCGTGTACCTAAAAAAGGTATCGCCGATAACGAACGTACGCAATCGTGTTTTACCCGCGCTTGTATACTTATATACTATTGGTATTGGGTAGGTAGTACCATTGAGTATAGATAGTATAATATAATACTATCTATACTCAATGGTAGTACCTATGTAGGTTGTAGGTACTAGGTAGTAAGTATATATGGACATATAGTTGGGTAAATATACTATGGTGTAGATATTGCATAGTGATTTTTTATCATTTTAAAAGAAGTCATGTTATTACATTTTTGACGAAATTATTAATACTTTAATATTTACAATATTTACCTACATTTAATATCTTATCTACTACTTTATAAAAACTTATAAATTTGAATAAATATTTAGTTTTCATAACTATATAAATATTAATTAATAAAATATAAATAAATAATAATTTATTCAGTAAAAAATTCAATAAATAATTTTTTGAATAAATATACACTATACAGTGTATGACTGGATTAATTGATAGGTCTGCGAGGCATATACTTGCCCCCGGGTAAAATGGTACAAATACTAAAACACTAACAGCAGATTAAACTAAGAATAAAAATAATAATCGTTTTACGTGAATATTAAAAATGAACCTGATTTCAAGATGTAAATATATAAAAAAAATTTTTTTTAAGAATTGGTTAAGTTATTTATATAAATTTTCCATTTTAATTCCAACCTTACTTTATTTTAATAAATTATTAATATTTGTATTAAATATACATATGGTTTTACGTTTTACCTAAAAATTGATAGAGTAAATTACATTTGTTTTATCGTTAATTCAGAGAAATAACAGTATTTTCTACAACAATAATAATTTTATTTTTATATTTTATAACTAAAATTTGTCAAGGCACTTAGCATGACTTAGTTTAGAACATGCCCAACCACCTACATATGCAATATTATAATAATGAATAACTATTTAATTTTAGCTCAGATTTTTTGTGTAAATATTTAATTACTTACTTAAATTATTTATAATTATAATAAAATAGTATAAAGGCAGAATAAATGCAGGTATTTGAGTAGAAATTAAAGTTGTTTTTCATTCAGACAACTTATGTACACTATTGTCGGATAGGCAACTATTTCAGGGAGGTAAATTGGCATTTGTTATCATTGACTATCTCATATTCTCATATAGAGTATTTGGTAATACCATGGGTACTCTAAACCAAAATTTCTCAACCTTTTTTTGTTATGGTGACTCATTTATTTGGTTTGGTTTGATAACCCTTAACTGAAATCATTTTTATAATTTTCATTTTACTCATTTTGTTAATATAATGCAATATTTTAATAAGAATACTTAAATCAGTTAAATATATAGATTATTTTTAAATTCAAATAATTTTGTTACTTTCTTGTTGATATTAGTCTATGACAGCAATCATCAAAAATGTTTTTAAAACACAGCCCTAGATAATCTTAAGTCTGTGTAAATTGAGAAGCAAATTGTTTTAGTTGAATATACAATGATTTGAAAAAAAAATTAATTAAACATAGTTGTATTATCATTATGAAAGCTTATCGTTATCGGTACCAGTTTGTATGTTACCTATAAATATTTCGTGAACTAATTCAGTTTTTGGGAAAATTGTTGTATGCGTTTCTAAAATTTATTAGATCAATTAAGTCTCATAATCACGTTTCATTATTTATTTATTAAACACTTAGTGATTGCTTATGCAAATCAGAAKTTAAGGAAGTTATTTGATGATTTTTTTTTATTCTTTTTAAATCAACAATAAAATATTATATTCATTATTCACGAGTATGCATCATCTAGCAGTATAACCAATCAACATTGACTTTCATTAAATATTATTTTAAGATGACTGATGAGCAAGCAATTTCTGAAACTGCTAAATTTGAAATGTTAAAACAACTTTTTTAAATTATGTTTATTACATTACATTCATTTATAAGTTGAAGAAGCTTAAAATAAATAGATAATTTTTCTAACAATATATTTTTTAAACTTATGCAGTGCAGACAATTACAGAAATATAGCTTCTAATTTATAAATTATAGTTGTTGAAGATTGAGATTTATGTTTAATGGTATGTTTAGATGCCACTACTACGGTGAAAATATTATTTTTACAACAATTTAATCAAATATATTAATAGTTAAAAATGTTAATACTATTTTTTTACTGTAGTGTTGGCAAAGGAAAACAAACCATTGTTCCGAAGATGGAAGGTAAAACTATCGGTCAGAGAAAAATGATGAGCAAAACAGACTGCTTGAAAATAAATGATTTGTATGGATGTCTTGGAACTCCGCCAAATTATAATTATAAATACTATACATTATGTAATTATATGGGTCTTTAATTGGCAATTGTATTTAATAACTAGACAAATAAAAATTAAAAAAATTTTTACATTATTTAGTCATTTATTTCCAAACTACATTTCTAGAAAAATGGTAATGAAATTTAWATACTGCTATTATAACTAATAATTGATGACTAAAGGTTGTAGTAATTTTAAGGTTTGTTCGTAAAGGGTTAGATGTAATGCAGTTGTGAACCCAGCTTTAATCAATGATGGAGACAGTCCTTTAAACAGACCACTAATTGATTCTTCTCGAATTGTCAAATAGATACAGTCTAATAATCCGTTGCACATAAATTTCTGAAAAAAAAATTTACAAAATCAAACAATTTTTATTCAAATGTGAGATTTTCACTTTGTAGAAACATTTTGTAAGATGTCAGTAAAAGGTACAGTGAGTAGGGAAATCACCATATTTAAATACAGGAGAAAATGATTAAATAATAAAATACAGCTAGATTACCTTGCCAAAACCATCCCTAGAGTGAATAAAATCTTGTAATTGTAGCCGTTTTTTTGCTACGTCTAGTGGGTACACAATTGTTTTTGCTGCTACTCCTGCCATGAATCCAGAGCTAAATTGTTTTATACTGTTCATGTAACCATCATGAATAGCTATAAGGAAAATAAATTAAGTTAAAAGAATACCTTTTTTTATTTAACATTATTAGCATTAATTAGATAGCATACTTGTATTAGTACTAGTATTCGTTGAAGAAAACTTGGAAAATATGTTATAAAACATGAACAGGAAGCCGCCTTGGAAAGCATTTTGCAGTATTGTAGGGAAAAACCCTCTGTAGTATGCAGGTATACCTTCTGTCTTATACATGGATATGGCTACACTTCTCATATTTGCATAGATCTACAACATAAATATAAAATTTGTTCTGTGATTTTTTTCCTTAGTTAAAAACATGATATCATTTGATTATTTTTACAGTCTTTATACATAATAATATGGTAAATATATTAATAGGGTCCTACGATGGCTACATCTAGACTTGATAAAAATTATAAATCATAATAAATTATGCTAAATAAGTAATTTTATAAATGTTACTTATTCAAGAGATTTAACATTTTTTTTTTTTTTTAATATTTAAATTTTAAAATTGTACCTTTCTGATTTTAATTTGTGTAAAAATTTTAGATATAATATACGATAGTAGTCCTAATCCTAAATACATTACTTGATTCGATTTTTGAGCTACTAGACGAGTGCGCACAACATCGAATGGATATGACACCAAAGTAGCAGCAGCGGCAGACGAAACACCACATAAAAAGTGAACACTTGAGGTCTGATTTAATTCTTTCTCAGTTATTGAAAGTAATGCCAGAGTTTTTTGAAAGACTAGAAACTAAAACCATACTTAATATAATATAACTATAGATTATAGTTGTACTCTGTTCAAAATAAGAAACACCTACAGCGACTACCAGTTTTTGTTTCCAACAGTCAGGTCTCACCCATTACCCATGGTCTGTACATGAAGTGAAGCACAGTAGTTGATCGCTGCAGGTATTTCTTATTATAAAGAGAGGAGAGTATAGTAGGAAATATATTATACATCTAAGCTATTATAAATACAGCAGAACCTCAATATCTCAAATCGATCAAGGACAAAAAAAATTTTAAAAAGCAGGGATCAAGATATTCCTTTAAGTTATTAAAATGTTTACTTATAAATGTCCAAGTTATTGTGGTTTTTTTTATATTATGTGAGAAATTATGAACTCCTGATTTAACTATTTAAGGTTTGTTTGACACTATTTGTTTACTATTTCTGACCCATGTGTTAAATAGACAATACATAAACCCCAATTAAAGTTATATCTTCAATCGTAACGTAAACACAAAATTCTTTTTTTCTTATTTTTTTTAAGTAGTCTAATAGTAAAATCATTCAATTAAAAAATTATAAAGATACATTTTTGAGGATAGACACATTGATATGTCTAAATATTATTTCAAACAATTTAATATTCATTTAGATTTTTTTAAGTTTAATATGAAGTCAAATKATAATAAAATATAAAACCGATATACTAAATTCCCAAAAATATTATATTCTATAATTTATGTGGTGAGTTATTTTACATTAAGATTTATCAAAAATCATAAAACCCGATTTTAGGTGAATGTGTTTTATGTATATTGCACATAGGTTCAAGAGACAGCAAATATTACCCTGACTCAACCTAACCTCAAGAGGATCTTAAAAAAAAGAGACTACTATCTCATTCAACTTTAACAGCATTTAATTTTATGTTAGATTATATAATGAATAATTATTGTATTTAAATTTAAAGTAATAATATGCAACACTATTCTGTGACATTGATGAGTTCAAACTACCTTTAAATATTAAAAGTTGGAACATTTAAAAAAACAATGTTTGAGAAATTTAAAGCTTTAAAATGAATATTACAATAATATTTCATATTTTTTGATTAAAAAAAATTAATACTAAATTATTTATTAAACAATTTCAAAGTCTACATTTTTATGTGTAAATAATGAAAAATGTTTTAATTTTGCTAATAACAAAATTATCATGGTAAGGAGAGATGCTGATAAGATATAGATAAAGGGATTTATTTGTAAATTTTGAATTTATAATACACCTAAACATTTATAAATACTCATTTATGTAAATAGTTTTATTTAAAAAATATAAATGAATTATTGTACACAGGTAATCTTCATAAATTTTATAAAGAAGAAATAAATATATTTATTTGACGTTACATTGACTACCCACAACTTTTTACAAGTATAATTAATTATTAATGCTACAAGTATGTATTAAAGTATGAATTCTAACCTATTATTTATAATTATTTTTGTAACATGTTTTTTTGTTGTTGTACACAATAAGTATTTAAATGTAATGAAACAATCTATTTACTGGCTGTAGCAACATTCTTACTAGATATTGTAACCTATAATTAAAAAAAATGAAAATGAATTTAATTGTTTGGGTTCTATAATTTTGCTAATAATTGCAATATTGAAAATTTTAAGTGAAAACTTCTTTGGTTGAAAATATTACCTATGGGATTGGAATTTAAAAAATACTTTTTTATATTTATTTCATATTTATAAAATAGCAATTTTACTATATAATGATTATAATGTGTTACATTTTCATTTATTATGAACATTTCTAACTTCACGGAATAGCAACCAGACACTTAGACTAAACTTGATTTAGAGTGATATTAGTTTACTTAAGCACTTAAATATAATATTAAATAGCTTATCCATATAACTGATGTAGGTATTGATAATTATCATTAAATTATTTGGTAAATAAGAATAACTAAGCTACTAATTATAATTTCTAGTAAGATTTAATTTTTTTACTTAATACATAGTAATATATAGTGAATAAAAACAGTGTAACTAAAGCACATATTTTATACAAACAATAATAAGTGTATAAAAGATAGAACCTTAAACAGAAAGAAACTAATTACTTGTGTCAATCCATAGGTAGTTGATAAGAATTGTCCCGGTAAAAGACCTTTCCATAAAGCCTTAAAGCCTTCTTCTTTGTATATTAAACTAATTGACTGATGAATAGATTTGTACTTTGAGATTTTTGAATTTCTTGATAATGGCTCAACTTGTAACTAAAACAAAATTATGAATTATGATTTACTCATAAATTTATTAGGCACTCTTGGCTTAGAATAATAATTATTAGATCACTATTCATTTTTTATAAGACTCCGGAAGTTTTATATAAAATATTAATCAAAGATAAATAACCCCGATATCTAACTTAAATTTACCTGAAATCGTATTTTGAGTACATCAAATGGTTGACAGACCAAACGTGTAATAGCTCCGCTGCACCCGCCAGCCGTGCTATGTAATAACCATGTTGATTTTTTTTCGACATTGCTTATATCTAACGTCATAAATGAGACTATTTAGTAAAAGCTGAAAGAAAAAGATTTTTTTTTTAAATGCAAACCAGAAAAATAATTCATCAAGCATAATATAGGTATAATGCTATATAAATTATGACATTGCATTATTTTTACCCAAACAGCCATTAAGTTACATATAAAATAAAAAAGAAATAGTGATCATATCATGGTGGTGGAGGTCAACTCTCCATGAGAATTGGTGAGTTTTAAATTAGTACACCCAATTGGCATATAAATGGAAACATAATTAGTACTTTAATGGGTATAAGTAATAGACATAGCTAAATAAAATATCTAGTTCTAACTGGACGTGGACATATAAAATTATGTGTTCCAATAGGGTCCAAACAAAATTATTTATATTTTTATAATATGACTTACAAATTCAACTGTTCTATACTTTCCTAAATGGTAATTATAGAAAAAATTAGTTAAAACTAAAATGTTTTTTGAACTTTCATTCTTACATTCCAGCATCCAACAGAAATTGAAAATTGTTATACAAACAATGCTATCTATCTATATGTAGGTATTTAAACAGATGACAAACAACTGAAAAAGTTCACAGATAATTTATTAAAAATTAAATTCATCACAAAACAAAGTTCGCTTCAGCAGGCCAAATTTATAGTCTGAATTAAAAACTGCAACAGTAAATACTACGAATGCATGTAAATCACTTCAGTCACACTTCAATTCCACAGTTAAGTTTCAGTCTGTTGAAATAGGAAAGATGCAGTATGAGTTTTAACATTGAACCTAACTAGTATATGGTTCTTAATGTGAAAACCTATTAATAAAACATTTGAATCTGGTACCCAACTAGTATGTACCAATAGCATACCAAGTACCCGACTGCTAAAAATAATCAAATATTTTTGTGCTCAAAACAAACATAGCATGTAATCGACTGTTATTGGAAAAACCATATCAAGCAACAATATAATTGGTCAGTGAACAAACTTCTGTCAAACTACGGTCGAGTACGAATGGACACGGATCATTCAGAGATGGAACTAGTCACAGTTAGAGTAACATATTATTATATTAAGTAGGTATACATACAGCCATATGAAAATAGAATAAATCTCAGCAACTTACGAGCATGGGCCCGGCTTATTGTGGATCATATTTTGTAACATTTAAATCTGGGATCCGACTAGTGTACGCCAATGGCAACTAAGTACCCGACTCAAAATACGAATCGAATTCGGACATATTTTTGTGCTCAAAACTCTGGAACGCATGTGGAGTGTAACCAACTGTTATTCGGAAAAACATACTATCAAACGKCACGATCATAGTTAGCACGGAAATGAACGCAAAGTAATTTGTAATCGACGACCGTTATGGAGACATCACAAGCGGTATGGTAACRGCGACGATGATGGTCAACAATAACATCGATCGAAGAATAATCTCAACAATCGTTCGTCAAACCACTGTCAAATGGCGAAAACGAGCGACTGCCGATTGGACATGCGCGTCGTCCGGAGGCGACACAGTTCACAGTCACAGAAATTTAATTAATAATTATATTATAGAAATAGAATAAAACTCAGAAACTTACGAGCAACGGGCCCGGCTTTTTGTGGATCTGTCACATTGATATATTATTATGATAGTTGTTCGATCTTCGACGTATAATGATAAGGAACGTACCCAGCTCAGTTTAATAAAAATAAAAAACAATATTGCTGGTTGACGTCCGTGTAGATAACTTACTACGCACTCATTAATTCTGATAAGGTGATAACCGAACCAAACATCTCTCTCGAAGAGATTAAACATCAAACCATTAATTAAACATTAATCTTTTATCTATGCATTAAACATTAAACGTATTAGGACTTAGGGGAGACTGGGAGAGTGTCTTAATATATATTTAATAAACACGTTCAAAGAGCAAAAAATATTTCTAAATTAATGTTTGATAATTGCTATTATAAATCGTTATTATTTGAATATCGAGTTCATTGACGTGTRCAGGACTTAGTGGTAGGTGTTGCTGAATATTTGATTAGTACAAAATGTCAATTATTTTATGCAGTACATCAATACATATTATTATTRCAATGCTAGACGTTTTTYCCTGGGRACTAATGTTTTAAAATCTTCAATAACATCATTGTAGTCAATTTGAGTCAGTAATTCATGCTCTACAAATAATAACAGTAAAAAATCAAGTCTATCCTGTTTCATTGTATTCCGTAACTTTGACTTCACTAACGAAAGTTTTGAGAATGATCTCGCACTAAAAGTCTAAAACAGCTAGTTACTGGATTAACTAAAAATACCAAAAAATAAGTAAATATATTTAGTCTATTAAGTCTATCTAACCATTCTATCCAATTTTCAATAGATTCAGAAGAAGTATTTTTCAGGAGTATCTGAAAGTTCTTTTAATAATTTGATTTTTGTTTTAAAACAATCAGAACTTGCTATAAGTTTTTCTTAAAGTAATTGTTTATCATTACCTGTAGGAATCAGTCGAAGAGAATTACTGCTGAAATAATACCTAATGTTTCCTGAAAAAATTGAGTAATTAGTCATACTATATCAGTACTAACTATTGTTAGTTAGAAAAAATAAAAATTGTGAGTGTTTGCAGTCCACAGGTGTTGCTATAGCATACCCTGCAACACCCATGCGCACRCCTATGGTCGAGTTAGAAACTCAGATCATAAGCTAAATATATATCGCACACAACTTCAATTTGGTGAAACTAACAAAAATATTTGTTGATGTTCCATATAAAAAAATAAAAATAAATGTGCGATTTAATGCAACATTTTTAAAGTAGGGTAATTATTAATTATATATTTTTAAACAAACTTATAAAGAATAATAATATTAGTACACATTCAATTTTTATCATAGTGTTTTAATATTTTTGATTGATTTTATTTAAAATATAATGGTCTATTTAGGCAATATTACATATGTGTCATATTACCCGATGTATCTAATTATTAGGAACCAATATCTAATAAATAAAATATTTTATAATACATTTAGGAATAGTTTACCTGGAGCAACAACATCCAGTCTTCATGAAGATGTTTATGTTATTTTTTTACCATTGTTTTAAGATAAAACATTACAAAGAACCTATGCCAATATTAAATTATAATTACAGAGTCAGTATTATCTAAGATATTGTTTTGTAATATTGTTATAATATTTGTTATGTCCTTTAATATGTAATTGTGATAAAACTAAGCTTATAATATTGTTAAATATGTTAAATTTAAACTGTTGTACATTTCTAATAATATTGACAGGTGTGTGTCATTTTACACAACTGTGTTCAAAATGACACAGTAGGGTAAAATTTAATTTTGTTAACTTAAAAAAAAGATAAAATTTTTAAACTAATTTGATTCAAGCATTACTTATTTACTTGTAGAAATATATTTCAAAAATGTTATAAAAACACTCATAAATATCTTATAAATTATAATTAATGCTAAGTACATCAAAATTGAATTTCCAAAGAGGTATTATGTTATATTAAGCCACTTTCTCCCATATTTATTTTTCAGATATTATTAATAGTAGTATAATCCAAGTTTTTAGACGAAGAACAAAAAAAATAATAGTTACCTATTATTATTGACTATTAACTATTAAGAGTATATTATGGTTAAATATAGATTAGGCCATGTGTACTTATAGTGAAAATGTTGTAAAACACTGACCTATATCATAAGTTATGGTTACTTCTAAAATTATCTTTGAAGTACTTTATTTGATTACACAACTATAAAAAAAACACTTTTAAAAATAGTAGTAATAATAGGTATTAGTAAACCTTGATAGATATGCAAAAATAAATAGGTATAAAATATAAAACTATTACAGTCTTCATAAAAAAAAATACCTATATAAAACAAAATTAATTAACAATAATAAAAATAAAAACGACATACATTTTGCTACATCTATTATTCTATTAACTAAGGAACTAAGATTTATAATCATAGTTTTAAACAGTGGCTTGCAGAGAAGACACAAATGGGGCCTAGGCCCCACTTGAAAGTGGGATGGGTGTGGGTTTTTTTAATTTATAAATATTGTGTTTTTATATAACTGTATAAAGGCCCTTAATAAAATATATATTATTTGTAACTTTACGTTTTAGGTGGGTGTAAAAAAATTAGCCCCACATGAAAAAAGGGATCTGCACGCCACTGATTTTAAATATAATAAGTAAGTATTATCATTAATTAAATACATAATTTTATGTTTAATTAATAGAATTAATATGTGAAGTGCTTAATAAATATTTAAACTTAATACATATTACATACATTTGTTTATTAAATGCAATTTAACTAATATATTAATATAACTAAATAATTTTTTTTTTCTTATACAGTTCTTAGTCATCATTCATCAAATTATCAAAACATCACTAAAATTATGGCGTGGTCCATGTTCATTAGTAAAAATACAATCTATTATTCCAAGAGTTTTGAACGTGGTAATATCGTCACCTAATCAAAAATTGTGATTGTGATTTTTAAATTTATAACAAAATTAAAAATGTCTAATTCATACATAACTTAAGTTTATAGTATAAGCTTAATGTTTATTAAAAATATATTAATTACTTCATTTAATCAAAAATATTTTTTTTGTTTTTTTTCTTTGTGAAGCCAACATTAAATTATTAACAACATGACTATTCATTTCTATACTGAATATTAACATCTGTAACAAAATTATAAAATTTGTTAGTGCAGCAATTGGTTTAATGGATAAATTTAGTATACACTTTTCATACACNCTTTAAATAGTTATCAGGAAAAAAATACGTTATTTGTGAATTTTCGTGTTATAAAATTGTAAGTATAATGATTATTTTAAAATAATTTAGGAAGAAGTTATATGCGTTTAAGTGGTACTCACCCATTATGCTTATTGGAAAAGGTGAAGCATATAAAAGTGTTCGCTACCCCAAACATTTGCTGCTAGTTACGCCACTGATTGCAGTTATGTTATTTTAAAATGTATGGATGTATTAAAACCATAAAACTAAATAAACATATTTTAGTAATGACATAATTTACCTTGAATATGCTTCTTAAATGTCAACAGATTTGGATAGAAGATTTCCCATTAAAAAAAAACTCGTTTTATTCAGTGCAACAAATTTATAGGTTTAAAAAATAAATAAAATATATTAAATCTATTACAATATTTAAGAATAGTTTTTAAATTAAATCACTTAGGTCAAACATCTATTGATCATTTAGCATTCCATCCTTATCAYCTACATTTTTATTTAATCATAATATATATTACCTTAGATCATATACTAGTAAATGATCTAAGTATATTACTTAATAATAATAATTAGTGATACTATAATATATACTAGTTTTATTTAAATAGCTTACAACTAAATTAGCTGGAGCCACACATTACAAAATCAATATTTAAATTTTTAAAACTGTGGTATCAAACAAAAGGACATTGATGTACTTTTAATAATTCAAAATTCAAAATGTAAGAATGTAGTTCAGTTTAAGAACACAATAATAATAATACTAAAATAATTAATATTGGGTCCATTTTTTAACATATAAATCAGGTTTTATCAATTAGTATTTTTTTGAAAGAGATGTTGCAAACCATAAATAATAACTAGAATGGATAACAAGGATGACAAATGCTGTTGAAAACAATGCACTATTAGTAAAATATTTACATATCATCATATAGGTGCATATTATTGTATGGCACAAACAAGTTATTACCGGTATAAAAACAACAAAATTGTGGTTACAAATATTTATTACACAACAAAATAACTTAAGCAGTTTTAAATCATATGTCAAACATATAATATGTTTATATATTATATAATTTAGTTATAGTCTATAACTTATAGAATATAAAATAATAATTTCTATAGTTGAAAATTGTTAATATTATCATTATCCATAGTAATTTTATAATAACTTAAAATGAGATCACTAGTGCAGTTATAGGCAAGTTAAGAGGACTCTACACCTGCATACGTTGTCTCCGTCTTACAAGTGCGTAACATAGCAAATATTATGCTCAGCAGATCACGTTTAACTCCGTTAGTTTAAAATTTAGAGTAAATTGACCTCTTACAAAAATTAAAGGTAACATTATTATCAAAGGCATGATGTAGGCTTTTTATTATATATTAATTTTAAAGTGAATTATGTGTATTTTAAGATATACAAACAATTTTAAATTTTAAAATACACATAACTCACTTTAAAATTAAAATATAATAAAAAGCCTAYGTCATGCCMTCGATAATAATGTTACCTTTAATTTTTGTAAGAAGTCAATTTACTCTAAATTTTAAACTAACGAAGCTAAATGTAATCTGCTGAGCATAAAATTTGTTATGTTACACACTTGTAAGACGGAGACAACATATGCGGGTGTAGCGTCCWCTTAAGAGCGATGGGAATCATATAGTGTATAGTTACGAAGTTATTAATATAAACTGTATAAAAATAAGGCATTATTTTAAGTTTTGATTGTCGCTATAATTCTAATGGAGTGTATTTAAAACTTTATTTGCAATGGTTTGATTTTGTTTGTAAATTATAACACTATATGATAATCATAATATAACAAACAAACATATAACAGCAAGATAAAAAAAAAATAAAACACTAAAAACAGAACAGTTACATAAATATCATATATGTAGACTATATAAATTAATACTAAAACATAACTGTTAAAAAAAAAAAAAATAATACCAAAGTAAATACTTTTTGACAATAATACTTTTTCTTTTTATGGTCAATTCATAAATTAAAACATGCAAAATTAATATATATATATATATATATATATTTTATTTAACTACAATATTTTTTTTTCATTATGATTTATACTATTTATAATTGTAATTATTTTTAAAATTTTCAGTAGTACTTATTCAATTTGTTGATTTAGTACATATGATTTCAACACAAGGAGTATTTTTATTTATGTATCAACTCTAAAATTTAGCTATATATATATTAATTGAATGAAATGACTATTTAAGATTTTTAATATAAATATGTGTTAGGCTGGCTACAATTTTTTTTTACRATTTTTGTAATACTTGTAACATATATTGTTGTTACTATGGTTTTTGTGATGATATTGATATCAGTATATAACTAGGTATGTTGGTCGACAAGTATCTACAATGCTCATCAATGAAATAAATATGAAAAAATGTCAGTTGGTCATTGGTATTAAAGAAAATTGTTTATTGACAATGTTTAGAGTCCCCCAACCCTTCTTAAAACAGATTTATGTTTCATAGATTTTGGTATGTTTGTTTTTTTWAATTTGTTTTGCTTATTGTTTGATAAAAAATTCAATACTATTATTATGTAATATTTAATTATTATTATATATTATAAAATTTGTTGGTTTTTGACAGAATAAAATTTTTTAAAGGGTTATATGTGATTATTAACAACAACATATTATCAGATGAA